TGTAGGAAGGTATCTAAAAATATCTCATTAAGCAATTTTGTCATTGCGTTTTTCTTCCTTATAACATGGGGTTTTTTCTCTATTGCTTTGGATTTCTGAACGGATTATATAAACCTAAAATATCTGTCTATCCACCTCTCTTCTCACCCATCTCTCGCTTTTCGACTTAAGGACTTCGGCGAATACTCACCAGACGAATATTATACGGCCCAGACGTCTGAAGGAGAGCACATCTCACAGTTGATCGGCGGCTATATTGACATCATCTTAAAAAAACAAAAGGCTCGGGATCATCCAGGAATCCTAGGCGATGAGGAGTCAGCAATGTACGAAGAGAATGTGCGGGCTGAACGGTGAGTAATTTCAATTTTGGCACATAGATATTTGATTTTTGATCAAAGCTCTGCTCTTTTCGAGAGACTAGTTAGAAATAGAACATAACTGGTTTTAAAATGCACTAGTTGTTACTTTTTCTATAGCAAATTAACTATTATTACTGTAGTTTTTCGGCCTTTTTCTTCCTACCCTACTAAATAAGCGTCTTTTCCAAATAAGGTGAGCTGCAGCTCTAATCATTCATAACTTATAATACATGTCACAGACCCCAATTCTTCAGTTAACCGCTTCATTTTATTTCCCATTGTGCTATTTATATCTTATATCTCTCGTCATGTATTTAAAGCGCATCGGGATATCAGGGAAATATCAAGACAGTTATCATATTGAAGGGCTTCTGTTTATTTATTTTATTTATTCTTCTATTTTTTTAAAGATATATTACTTCCTAATGGTACTTATTTTGTACTCTCTTCTATCTCTGACTTCAGGGCCACAATCATTCAACACCAGCGACTTCCGAGCAGACAGCGCATCCCACGTCGCCAGCAAAACGGCCACGACGAGATTGCCGTCAGCCAACGTAACGGGACACTCGCAAGCGTTGCTCCATCCGTCGCTAGGGACCAGCTCGATCATGTTAGGCTATCGGAGGATCCTGGCCA